ATTAATGCTACAAGTGCTGATCTACGCTTCCCAGTCCAGCTTAATTTAATTCCAGATTACATTGTTATGTGCAGGTAATCTGGTTACCATGTGTTGAAGCGTAAAAATCGTTTGAAGTATAACAGTCTAAATTCAGACAGGTTCTCCAAAAAGGACTTTTCTGCACACATATCCACATGGTGGTACAAAAATGTTTCTGTTAAGTTACAGTCGTTATTTATTTGTATTATTCGTCGTATTGCTGACTGTGCAGAGGTGTGACAGCAGTAAGGTGTTTCCTTCAGACAACCAGCATGACAGCGATGCTGCTTTCCCACAAGGAGGGATGCGGTTAGAAAGGGTCGACCCTAAAAATGCACACCTTGTCTTATCCCACGGATATCCGTCTCCGGCGATAAGGTCTCAACAAGTACGGAGCTGACACAAAATTACCCATAAAAAGGTCGTGTGTGACCGACCCCGAGCAGTTGTCCCTTGGGCACTGCGGTCACGCCCTCAGGTCACTAAGACCACCTCTAATCCAATTTCCTTTTCAGGCACCTCCAGAACAACCCTTCCACGGTGTGGGCAACCGGGAAGTGATAACCGCCCTCATACCTCTAACAGCACTCAAGACCACTGTATTCATAATCGACCTCCCTCTTCAATCCCTATTATTCCTCCTACATAGACTTTCACCTCTAAACTTCCTTTTTCGGCTTCCTCCTCAAGTGTCACCATAGCCAACGATTCTAGTGCGCAAAACACTGTCCCAGGTCTACTGAAACCCCGCTCCAAACTACACATTGGAGCCTTCAACGTACGCAAATCGGTCAACAGACTTCCCTGGCTAAAACCCTAGAATCTCGTACCATTGATGTGTGCTGTGTCTCTGAAACACGCATACAGGATCCCAGTGTGGTCATTCACTTGACCTCACCTCAGCAAAACGGAGAGCCAACGAGATACACCCTCCGTGTATCTGGTGACCCGATGGCCAGCTCTCGTGGACTGGCAGGAGTAGGGATAGCACTAAGCATGAGGGCGGAACAAGCAATGTTAGAGTGGATCCCCGTTAACAGTCGTTTATGTGCTGTTCGGCTAAACGGCTCCGTAAGAACTCGGAAGGATAGGGACACACGTCGTTGCCTTTTTGTCGTTTCTGCCTACGTTCCCACCGACTACAGCTCAGATGAAGTGAAAGATGAATTTTACAGAAAGCTATCTGAACTTCTTCAGCGAGCTAAACGTTCAGACATAGTACTCGCAGCAGGTGACTTTAATGCCCAGATAGGTAGTTTAAACCAAACAGAAAGGCATTTAGGTGGGTATTTTAATATTCCGGCACAACGAACAGATAATGGTGGTCGTCTGTTGCAACTGTGCTCAAACAATCGTTTATTTTTAGCAAACACAAATTTTAAGCATAAGGAGAGACATCGTCTAACATGGCGATCCCCTACACCAAACCAACGATGGACTCAAATAGACCATATTGCCATCAGTCATCGTTGGAGAGGGTCGGTAGAAGATTGTCGCTCATTCTAAGGTACATGCTTGGACTCCGACCACGCCCTAATACGGGCACGCATCTGCTTGCGCCTCACTGGATGCAAAAAAGCCACAGTAAAAAGATCCATTAGAACTGAATTTAGTAGCGAGAAAACCGAAAGTAGGTTCCAGGAACAACTGAGGTCACAATTAGGTAGTTCTGAAAACGAGGTTGACGCAGATGTTGCTTGGCAAGCTATACAAACAGATGTGGATACAGCAGTGACAACTATCAGTGATTTAAACTACAGGGTTACAAAGAACCAATGGGTTTCCTCAAGGTCTATTGCACTGATGGATTCTCGTAAACTCATCCCATCAGGCTCTGAACACGATGAAGAGCGACAACAAGTCAGATCGAAGTTAAGCAAAAGTCTAAGGAACGACCGTGAGCAGTGGTGGGCAACGAAAGCAAAAGAGATGGAAAAGGCGGCGGCTATAGGGAACACAAGACAGCTCTACAGACTAATAAAATAAACTGGAATTAATAAGTCAAGTGTAAGTCAGACTATTTCAGAAAAAGACGACACCCTCATCTGCTCTTAGTCCAGACGTTTAGAACGATGGCGGAACATTTCAGAGAACAATTCAGCTGGCCTTCAGCTACTCTACAACTACCCTCCATTTCCAGACAGTGTGAATGGAACATTGAAGTGGGTCCCCCAACTCTAGCAGAAGTTCAAAAGGCTATAGCTAATCTGAAACGATGAAGGGCAGCTGGTCCAGATGGATTGGCTCCAGAGGTCTTTAAGGATGGTGGTCCAATCTTAGCGATTAGGTTGACTAATATTTTAGCTAAGATCTGGGAGTTAGACGTTATTCCATCTGACTGGTCACAATCACTTATCGTCCCAATATATAAGAGAGGGTTAAAATCATCCTGTGACAACCATAGAGGAATTAGTTCAACTAATATAGTATCTAAAATACTAGTCTCGATAATTATCAGACGCCTAACTAAGACTCGTGAACTGCAAACACGAGAGAATCAAGCTGGCTTCAGACCTGGTTGTGGCTGCATCGACCACATATTCACCATTCGTCAGGTTCTAGAACATAGGCATACTTATCGGCGTCCGACAATGGTGGTCTTTTTTTTTACTTAAAAGCAGCATTTGACTCGGTAGACCGCGAGATTCTGTGGCAGTGTCTGTCATTGAAAGGCGTACCTCAGAAGTACATAAACCTTGTGAAGGCTCTTTACTCGAACACTACTAGTCGAGTCAGAGCTTATGGCGAACTGTCATCTGCTTTTGCAACCTCAAGTGGTGTCCATCAAGGCTGTCCACTTTCTCCATTTTTGTTTAACTTCATCATAGACCTATTGATGGAAATAACATTCTCGTCTACTGAATTCTCGGGTATTGATCTCCTTCCAGGAGGTCCACTTACCGACTTAGAATACGCAGATGACATAGTCCTGTTTGGTGAGGACGCTGATAAAATGCAGTTTTTTGGTAGCACCAAGCAACAATGCCAGAATGTTTGGAATGCGCTTCTCTCCCTCTAAATGCAAGTTGTTGCTTCAGGACTGATCTGCGTCAACACCTGAACTAAGGATAGGGAGTGAAGTAGTCGAACGCGTTGACAACTTTTCCTATCTTGAAAGTCTGATCAGCCCTAATGGGTTGGTGTCTGACGAAATCTCAGCACAGATTCGAAAAGCTCGATTGGCTTTTGCCAACTTACGTCACCTACGGCGAAGGCGAGATATCCGTCGATCAATAAAAGGACGAGTATACTGCGCGGCAGTCCGTTCTGTTTTAATTTACGGCAGCGAAACATGGCCATTAAGAGTAGAAGACACTCGTAAGCTACTGGTATTTGACCACAGATGCCTTAGAAATATTGCTGGCGTCTGCTGGGATCACCGGGTAAGTAATAGTGAGGTTAGACGCAGGGTATTAGGGAACGATGGTAAATCAGTTGATGAGGTTGTGAATCTTCATCGACTGAGATGGTTGAGTCACGTGTTGCGTATGCCTGAACGCCGATTACCACAACATGCAATGCTAACCGGTATTGGAGATGGTTGGAAGGAAGTTAGGGGCGGCCAAACCAAAACGTGGCATCAGTGCCTGAGGTCATTAACTTCTAGTCTGAGCCATGTTGGTAGATGCAGACTACTTGGTTGGGGTCCGCGTGACTATCGTAACCAATGGTTAGAGGCTCAGAATCGATCACAATGGCGTCGGTGTATACACTCTCTGTCTTCCCTTAAACTAAGAGATTAAAATAGCTTCATATCTTTCTTTCTACGAACTAATTCTTTCTTCCTGTACTATATCCTTATATGTAATCTTTCTTTTATATATTACCACGACTGGATTAACTACTTTTATGAATCCGGTGTTCACCTTGTTGTGTTAATGAGGTATGGCAACTTGGACCGATGCATATATGTGCCTGGTCCTACTTTGTAGCTGACTGACTGACTGAACTCTCTACCACCGTTATACGGCAGCATTGATGTGAATTCTGGTTTTATATAAAAAAACATTCCACTTTGATCATACCACAAGTCAGCGGCAGGATATCTCCTTCGGACCTTACACTAGTTTCCGATCTTACCGTTCACTACCCTATCAACGTAACATAGTAAAACCTAAAGCAACTAATGTTTCCATTAAAATATTTTGGTTGCATTACTAAGATAAGCAACCCATTCGGATCGGGATACCCAGGACTTTACGTGGCGAGAGACGGTGTGTTTTCAGTTTGATATGTGAAAAACTGACATCTAATCCTTGCTGTTAATTGTACGTTTGGCGTAATTTGTGCGACTTGAGACGTTATCAAGTTTGTGCGTGAATCATACCCGGTTAGACCTCAGTTGACAAACAAAACTTTACTAGCTCTGGTCATTTAAGAAAAAACACAACGGCATTACAATCTTAGCTGATTCGAGCTTGTTAAGAAAATCCTTACTAATCAGACACTAACCAAAGCACTCCGGATTCCCACGCTGAATTAGTCCATCCATATTGCTACAAAGCACCTTTCATAGTATTTTGGTGGTTTTGTTCTCTGAGCACAAACCTGTGATGTCGTTCAGAAGAACGACGAAAGCTCCACGACTAAACCACTCAGCTCAGAGAACAAAACTCCACTAAAATCATCCACCTGAGCTACAAATCTCAACCTTTTACAGTAGCTTATTTCAGTTTATGTAAACCACCACCCTATATTCTAATTATGACACCCGACTACTCAGACAAATAACCCCTAATCCTAATTTTTTCAGATTATTATGCCGGAACTGATATATTTCAAATCTATTACCATTTACCATAAACTGTTTAGAAGTTAAGTACTTCTCTAGTCGACTGGTAAATCGCCTTATCCAAGGTGTGCTAAAAGAGCAGTAAGTGAGAAATTGTAACACAAACAGTACTACACATGACCATACTAAAACGACTTAGAGTTGGAACTACCACGGTTATTTTTTTATGCAAACGCATCTAACTTACCAAGCAGCTTGAACAAGGTTTTTGTTAGTTTCATGGTCCAAAGCCTGCAAGTAACATATAACAAGCTACAAAATATGGATTATGTCAAGTTAGATTACCTTGTGAGGATGTTTGGCATGGACACAAAATCCTAATTCTTTTAAAACACGTCGTTCAGCCTTGATAACTTGATTTTTAAGATTACTGTAACTTTGATCGAGAATCACGGGTGTCGGTGTTCTGAAATAGAAGCCAATAATGCATACAGCAATACTTTTTATCCCGAACTTGTCTTATATGATGAAAAACATTGATTACGTCTCTAATACGTCTTGGAGACTCTTCAAGCTTTGCAGCCAGAAATATACATGCCATAGCGTAATGCTGGAAGCAGGTTACTAGACAAAACACCTACCTCGTAGAAGTGACGGACAAATGACTTGGAGTAGAAGAAGCGCTGGTACAATACCTGCGCAGTTGCCATAGCGACTTGCGGCAGCCGTAACAAAACCCCAGAATCTTGGATTAACTCGCACCCAAGAATCCTTAAGTCAATCTCCGTTTCATATTCCATTTTGTCCAGCTGCGACGGGGTAGGAAATAAACGCTCCTCGGGTATAATAATGTTGTGAATGGTTAAATTCACACCACAGTATTCCCAAGTTGAATCAGGTTGCTTTACGGATCGAGAACTAGTCTCAGCGGCCATTGTACTAGCAACTTTAAATGTGACACACAAAACGTCAATCACTCATTAAAAGCAAAGTAATGAATAGAAAGCTGAGAAAATCAAACTCTCAACATATTCATAAGTTTAATATGTTACATGTTTTTGTTACTCGTATTTTAGTGCAGACCTCAGGTTATCGCTGGTACGCAGAACGTTTTTATAAACTTGGTCCTTTGGGAAAGTTTGATAAGGGCAGAAGACTGAGGGCCTAAGTTTATACTCAAATCTGTGCATTTAGGCAGAAAACTTACGACCTGCTCTAGTCCTTTTCAAGTAAGCTACGAAGTGTGTTCGATTTTATGCGCGCGCTTATCAAAAGGACAGTGGTATTTTTCCTCACTGAGTAAATTCTATTGTTTTGGTCATTTATTACGTACCAAGACTACTGTTTTCACCTTAATTGAATTTATTTCAGTTAAAGTATTTGATTATAGTGTCTTTCCTGTTTCTAAATTAGTTTGTCGTCGGTACTTTTGAGTACCTTGTTTTCCATTGTATCTTTAGTACTTTTGGTTCTGTAGTGACTCACATTTATCACGAGAACACGACTGGTTTATTAAAAACAATTATTATTATAACCAACTGTGCCAGTGTTTGTTTTAATGTGCTTTTGTTTGACTGTGCTAATGACAGCTATTTTGTGCTTCCATTCTTATTCACACACTTTGATTGTGACTTCGCGCGAATTCGGTTACGTTCTGTGACCAAGCTTGTATCCTGGCACGACCTCGGTATCCTTTCGATACCACGAGATCGCCAGCAAATATATCTCGACTTGGTCCATTAATTGCCTTCTAATATTTGGCTTCTCGAGGATTTTATGGATTTATTTGGTTACGTTCAACCTTCGCCTTCTGATATATTTGGCACGTGTTTCTTTGTAGTGGTGTTCATAGTCAATTCCAACTCGACACCACGCTACAGTTCTAACAATCTACAGTTTTCTCCCTTATTTTGGTCATAGGTCATTTTTGTCTCTGAGTGTTATTGCATCTAGTTCTTTTTTTAAAAAGACCCCTGTTTAATGACTGGACAGTGCAAAAAAAGCAATTGCCAGCGTTCGAGCTGTCGTTATCCCGTTGAGTGCGATGAGTGCAAAGGTTTGTACCACGGAGTTGGCACGAATTTGACGCCTGCGGCTTTCAAACGGTTGCACATGGCTTTGTCAGCAATGCTGTTCGGACGAGAGCAGCTTACTAACCAAGGCCATTTCAATGGTAAATGCAGCACGAAGCCATTTAAATAGGCTTCGGATCTGTTACAATAATGCCCGAAGCTTGCTCAATAAGCGGTAGGAACTAGGTGTATATATTGACTCCACAAAGCCAGATATAATCGCAGTCATAGAAACTTGGCTGACGCAGCCTATAGATAGTATAGAACTTGATTTCGAGGGCTTTACGTTAGTAAAAGCCGACAGAATCCAGAAGCGTAAAGGAGGGGGAGTAGCTCTATTCATTAGGAATGCTATCCCATTTACCATTATCGACACTGTATCCCATGAGAGTGGGACGTGTGAATTAGTTAGTCTTTGCTTAAAATGCAAGGGTCAAGAGCTGCTGATTGGTTTGGTCTATCGCTGTTCAAGCTGTGAGGTACATGAGATCTTGCTAAGCAGTCTCAATACTTGATCACAAAGTGGTCGATGTCTAATTCTAGGGGACTTTGATGCACCCATGGTACACTGGGAAAATCTGCGAACTGAATTGTCAAAAAATTCCTTCGAGCAGGAACTAGTTGATGTGGTTATCACATGTGCCCTAGTGCAACATGTGAAAGAAGCGACTAGGTACGACCCGGACACTGAATCATCCTTACTAGATCTTATATTGACTCACTATGGGGATTATGTTACGAACCTCCATTACATGCCACCTCTAGGTAAAAGTGATCTTGCAGTTTTAACTTTCGACTTGCATATAACTGTCAATCACGAGTACACGTTAGCTCAATACAGACCTAACGTCTGGGAAGCAAATATACAAGATATCATACACTCAGCGCCGTCAGTAGATTGAACAATAGAGCCAGAGTCCTCAATTTACACTTAAAAGTTACTGCACGACACATAGCTTCGACTACACCAAGGAGGCCGAGAAACTCTCCACCATGGTTCGGAGGGGAGGTCCGCATCCTTCTCTGTAAGAGAAGAAAAATGTGGGATAGATTTAGGTTACTGGGGAAGGATGAGACAAAATTTCAGTATCGAAAAGCTCGGAATACCCGCTCCTCGACGCTCCGTGAATCTAGAAATTTTTAAGAAGAAAAAAGTGTTAAGGAATCCATAGAATGTCCTAAACGCTCGTATTCGTATATATGTAGTGGCATTGAACAATAACCGCACAATCCACAAAGCTGAACACGAGACTACTCAGAAAATAGATATTCAATATTTAACGCGGATAAATATCTAACGATGGAGAAGGCGCGAAGAAGGAATTGAATGGACTGGAGTTGATCGAGTAGCATGGATCGGCCATCCAGGCGTGGTCTCTGCCGAATGTTACCTTATATCTTCTGTTCATATTAAATATATTGTTCTTCCTCTAGCCTAACCTTGTTCTACATCATGTATTGGTAATTGATACGATACAGTGAGTTGGTGTAGTCGATGGTGTGACTTCCACGTAAGATCTTATGGATTAGGCAGTTATATAATGACAAATCTACAAATTTAGGATTAGGTCTATTATTAAAGCAGTACTAATATCATAGTAGACCATAATTCTACATTGGTGAGCCCAACTTAAGAGACGCAACCTATTATTGTTAATCCTTATTTCCACCCTAACCTTCTCAATCGGATTTTATTTTTGTAAACCCACTATTCTAATAGTCCTTTGATTAATGGTCACATATATTATCGTAATGTTATATCTATTAGTTCACATAACTTACTAGCTCAATCGATAATAAAAGTTGATCATCTATATCAACTAATTAGCTTTGATTTTTCGTTAACAAGCTTTCAGTTTCAGTTTGGGAAGGACTGGAGGCTCGATGGCCTATGTTAGTCCTGGCAATGGTGGTCTCTCAGTTGATCCAACTTTCTTTTGAAAGAGTCGACGGATGGAGCCTCAACCACGTGCTGAGGTAATGAGTTCCACTCGTTGATGATTCGATGGGAAAGTCGATAGTCAGCTGACAAGTAATTTGTTCTCGGCTTATGAACTTTTTTGGAGTGTCCTCGTAAATTCTCTGTTTTGGAAGACAAGAAAAATGAGGGCATGTTATGTGCAAATTCATCACTAAGCAATTTGTAGACTGTAATCAAGTCGCCTCTAGTTCTGCGATATGACAACGGGAAAAGGTTCAGCTTGGCCAGTCGAGATTCATACGGAAGCTTCGCTATTCCGGGAACCAGCTTAGTCGCCGTTCTCTGAACCTTTTCCAGAAGCTCACTGTCTTCTTTAAAGCAGAGGCTAGCCGCTTGTATGCAGTACTCAAGTTTAAGACGTACGAACACTGTATACAAAGTCAAAAACGTCTTAGCGTCGACATGACTAAAAGCCCTACGTATTGACCATAACGTTCTAAAACTTTTGGCGGCTATTGCACGGCAGTGTGCAGTAGTCTTTAAGTCTTGACTAACGATAACTCCTAAGTCATTATATGTCTGGACGACAGGTAACTCAGTGTTATTCATCGTGTATGTATCTGTACCTTGATGACCGATATGCATCACAACACACTTGGAAGTATTTATCGGCAACTGCCATGTTTGAGACCATTCAGATAACTTATTCAGGTCATTTTGAAGTTCTAAGCTATCACTCTTACATCGTATCGTTCTCCATATCTTGACATCGTCAGCATATAGCAAGACCGATGATGATAGGAGACAAGGAAGGTGATTTACATACAAGAGGAATAGCACTGGCCCCAAAACTGTACCCTGGGGCACCCCACTAAGCACAGTTTCCCAGCTAGACAACTTGGAGTTCACCCTTACTCTTTCGTGCCTTAAAGTAACCCTCGTGCTATTGATAGAAGAAACCAGAGAAGTAGTGAATAGGTCTTTATTTCGATCTCAGCGCGGTAACAGTGGAGCGTCGGATTACCTGTTCAGACAAACAAAGGCTCTCAACATTCAATATAAGATAATAGGGAATATAACGCTTATACAAAACAAGGAAGTGAATGGATACTTGAACAATACTGTTTTGGCATATGCTTGGTTGTTTGGGGTCAACTCTTAACCAACCAACCGAAGCTGTTACATTAGCTTCCCCCTAGAATCGACTTCCGTAGGAACGTCGGTTCGATTAACCTAACTATCGAAAACACCCTAGTTCTATTTCTCATCCCAAGGGAAAATTATCAACTCGCTGTCAACGATAGTCCATGGATGTCTCTTCTTTACTAGCTTGTCATCTTATTTTGTAGCATGTGATTTCTTCTACAACTATCGCCGACGGTTTGCTGCGTGCTTTCAAGAGAAAGTGTGAGAATGTGGGATAAGAATATCTGAGGAAGTGCCGCGAGCGGGCTACCCAACACCATGTTGGTGAGGTACGATTTTTCCGTGCTCAGACCGGCTATCAGGTGTTTACTCACCTGCCTCTTGAGTCGCCCTCAAGTAAAAAATAAAGAAGAATCTACTTCAAAGGTAATGGTGAAAATCAAGCAAACCTGAAGAACTGCTCCACTGCCTGCATAAAATAATAAGATACAAAATGGGAATACATAAATGTAATTGATAATTGTTCGGTTCCATGTAAGTGCTTGGTCTCCAGAACGGATTGGTATTCTGGGTTGCTTTTTGAATTCGTTGTATTTGCTAGTGTTAGTTGTATGAGTTTGATTAAAGTCCTCAGCCATCGTTTCGGAATACCTAGCTTATGTGTCCAGTATTTTAAAAAAAAATATTTAGCATAACACGTATATATCAAAGGTAAAAGGTCTGGGGAGTTGTCGGTGAGGCGGAATGAGGAAAAAAAATTTTTAAGTAGATGCAGGGTGTGACTAGCTGCGTGGTT